ACACACACACACACACACACACACACACACACACACACACACACACAGTGTTTTGTCAAAGTACCTGATGCCTAAATATGGGAGAGAGCATACTGCTTCCCTTTTGCCTTTCAGCCCCACTCCAGGAGTCTTCCAGGCAGAAAAACCATTTTGTGTTGCATTTTTGCTGATATATAAATGAAGCGAGTCTAGTATAGATCTATTTCAAGCTATTTAGCTCTCATCAGCTATCCATACCCTTGTTGAGATTCAAATATATATAAAAATTATTAGTATTACTATGGTTAGTCGGACAGTCAACCAGATGTTAAAACTGGGTTTGTCCTTTTATTCAGTACTGTCACACTGACAGTACTGAATAAAAGGCATTTATTACTGTCTTTTTATACATTTTTTCTTGGACAGTAACATATTTCACCCCAAATTATTTCACTATTTTAATGTTAATTCTACAGTATTCATTTTAATACAAATGCCCTGTTATTCCTCATTTTCAAAACAGTTTTAAAATTTCAATCAAAATCACTTTATAGTGTCTCTGCCTCCTTGAATTTAAATTTTCTCTTGCTCTCTGACTGCCACCACTACAACAACTAATCGTTTTTTAACAAAAATAATTTCATGTAAGGTCTAAAAGAAATTGGTCTCAAAGGCATCTTTCAAGAATTTATATTGGAGATCAGAATATGTTGAGCATAATTAGAAAACAATGTTTGGATCCATTCGTTTTTAAAAATCAATGGTTTATTGATTTTATTGATGGTCTGAAAAGAGCAATTACTTAAGCAGATCTATTCATTCATTTATTTAATGTATACCCACATTAAACATTTGATGTTTAAGGTTTTACCAGGTTACCACTACAGCCATTCATTCTTGGTAGGATGGTTCCTTCCTACCCAAATCACCAGTCTCCAGGCACAGAGATAAAACTTCAAGAGCTTCATCCAGCCAGTCTGGAGGTCAAAAGATATAACTGGATACCATCAACATACTATGATACCAAATCACAAACCAGTGAATAGCTTTACCCAGTGATCTCATGTTGAATAGGACAGAAGAGTGCCGAGCCCTATGGTCTCCCTCAAAGGAGGGCCTTAGGGAGCAACTTCTCCATTGTAAGAAAGGGAAGAAGAGAACCACATAAAAGAGTGCCCCCGCATTGGACCCTCCATGCAAAGTTTGTACAGGTTTACTGCACTTCCAGGCAATGTTCAGAAGACAAGCTCATCCCAAAGATTCT